CTGCCATCACGCTCTACGTCAAGGTGACGGTGGGACGTAAGGGCTGTGTCTCAGGGCCAGCACGAGACATGTTCTGCCAGCACACTAAGTCAATAGCCTGGGACTGATCCAAGTATTTGCTTCTTCAAAGAACAACTTAGCAGAAAAAAAGTCCGGATTTTTCTTCCAGAGGTTGTGCGCATAAATACCTTAATAAACAGCACATCATTATTTGGTACTAATACCCTGCACATCTTAATCACACCTTTACAGTAATCTCACATTTGGCTTCTGCTGTGTGAAAATTTAAGTTATCTGCTGCATACTTTTATGGGGAAAAGAAGCCCAAATTTTTTAATTTAAGCAATTTAGCCATTTTTGTTGAATTCTGTCTGTGGCACAATGGGAGGGAGGGTGCAAAATTGGTGCTCCAGACATTTATTTCACTATTTATTTTAGTAGCAACATTTGACAACTGTGATTTTCTGCAGTACGTTTCCCACTGTGCAAATTGATACCAAATGCCTTCTTAAAGAAAAATGGGGTGGCTAGTTTTTTAATAATAATTTCAACAGTTTCATCCAGCGGAAGACCAGAAAATTAAGCAGGCTGCAATTTTAAAAGAATATAGAGAACCTTTTGCTCTGCATTACAGTCATAAAGCTCAACCAGAGAGCAATAACTTTCAGAATCTATAAAAAGTAAATTACAATTGAAAACCAAATTTTGAATACCTATTGTGCTTCCAACTTTGCAGCAAGCCAGCACTTCCTCACTGAAAATTGTATTTTATACCTTAAATGTCCATTGTTTTAAAGAGGAAAAAGCCCTCTGCCCTAAGGAACCCGTGGGCTGGCATGCTGCTCTTAACAAAAAAAAGTGTAAGTACTAAGCTTTCTGATCATAGGCTATGCAATGGAAGTCATACAGAATTACCAAGATTGTGGCTTTTCGGATAAGACCCAAAGGCCCTTTTTTGGTAGACTTACTCACAGGAGTGAGTCGTGCCCGCAGGACAACAGAGAGAGGGGTATCTCCTCTGTGAGCTGCTGCTTCTGAGTTTGGACCCTAATTAGGGTGTCAGTTGGCCGAGGACGGATGCGCAGCTGACGGGTGTCATATGAGGGCAACAAGGAAGAGGACTACACATTAGCTCGGGCTGGCATTGCCTGCTCACCAGCCTTTCCAGGATTTCCCCAGAATGTCTTTTTTTCTATTCTTTTCCTTTTCTTCTTAACCTCTCTCTTGGATCTCTCCAGAAAAGAAGTGAATCCCCTTGTTGGCTATAGACATCTCCATGTTCCCTCTTGGGCAGTAAGTCCTAAAACGCAGAGGAGGTTTTTGGGGACATGCTTACTGGCATCAACATCTTGCTTCTGGTGTGGTGGGCTCAGGTGGTCCTCATACTTAGGGCGATGTTACCACAAGTCAGAACTTAGAGCAGCTCTACCTCCACACTATGTTAGGAGACAAAACAGTCCACCTGAGATCCAGATGGAGCTTCATAGTTCTGCTCCTGCTCTCTCGCCATCTTAAATGGACCCAGAACAGCGTGTTTTCCACACACAGACAAATTCCATAGTGGTTTACGCAGCAAGGATCGGTGTAATTAACCCCCAAAATCCCTGTAAAAGGACTACGCTTGTTAGGTGTTGGGCTCTGCCACACTTTCATCTGACTCTGCCTCTGCCCAGTGCTAACAAACCTTCATAGCAAAATCTGGGCTGCTTGGCCCGGTCGTGCTGGTGTGCGACACCTTGCCATAGCGGGGTCAACCAGCTTGCCTGAAAACCGGCCAACCGGCTTTTATTTCAGAGCAGAGTCTATGTGGGGAAAGGTAACACAACGAGCAAGGAGAGAGGACATCCTGCCCTGTGATCAAACGAGCACGTCATCCCTTCTTATCCAGGCTCATAAACTGCCCGATTGACCTCAGATACAACAACAGTGACCACGAGCTCTTACTTCTATCTTGGCTTGACTAAACGTATGTGACCATTCCTAACGGCGCAGACTCCTCAGCTGTCACTCAGCTCCTTCACATCCCACTGTCTAATGAGGCTCTGTGCTTGAACATCACCGAAAAACTTTAGCTGCGTTGGACTGCAGCTCTTGAACGTCGTATTTCAATTTGATGTAGAAAATGTGCTGATCAGAAAACTCTCAACCTTCTTGCACAGGGTTCAGAAAGCAACTAATTAAACTTCAAGAAGGGCTCAATGTCAAAAAATGACTAAGAAAATAGGAAGAAGGAAGCAGAACCCCCCTAAATAACTGTACAGGTAAAAGGCTGTGTAAATAAGTATCTCCTGCATGCCGGTGTTTCTTTATGATGTCTCACAAAGGAAGCATATGACAAATTCGTCCCTGTCTTGCCGTTCAGTTCTGGCTGCAGTTCAATTCAAGGCCCCGGCTGAGATCTGTGAGGACAGCCGGGTGAGGTGTTGTCAACCTGGAGCCTTTCGTGAGTTCAGTCTGAATTAACTCAAGAGCTTTGGTTGGAAAAAATGATGGCGCCTCACCGCTGCGGTGATAAAGGAACTCGCCAAGGATATGTCAGCTGCAGTTTGATTTTCTCCTCAGCCCAAGGGGACTTGAACCCCCACATTTTACCTTTCGCTAGAGCACCCTAACTCTCATGATACGGAGTGTCACCTCATGGTGTCGTGCTACTTTGCATAAATAATTCAACTTTTTCTCACAACCCAGGAACTCAGTGCTCTAATTACCAGACCAGAAAGGCGTTCTTGCTATTATTTCTCTGGGTCGTTTTGCTCAACGCAAAATGATTCCCTTGAGCTGCTTCAGCTGGGTGAGGAAAATATGACAAATTTTATTTTTTTTCTAACACTTCTATTCATTCGCCGTTTGGCTGCTGA